TCTCTCTCTCTCTCTCTCTCTCTCTCTCTCTCTTTTGCCCTTTTTAACTCCCAGTGGAGCACAGGTCATCAACAACATTACTCCAGCGAAGCTTTGCTGTGCATCCTTTTCTAGCTGTTTCCATGATGTCCCCGCTTTTTCTATTTCTGCTTGCACTGGTTGTCTCCATGTCATCTTTGGTCTTCCCTTTTAACGTTTTCCTTGTGGGTTCCACGTCAAAGTCTGTCTGATGATGCTTTTCAGGGTTCTCCTCGGGGTGTGTCCAGTTCATTTCCATTTCTTCCCCTGAATGTCTTCCTTTACTGGCCTTTGGCTTGTTCTTTCCCACAGTTGAGTATTTGTGACTCGATTGTACCACTTGATCACCACTATCCTTCTTAGACATCCATTTACGAAGCTCTGCAGTTTCCTTGCTGCTGATGCTGTGAGACTCCATGTCTCTGAACCATTCAGTAGAACAGTCTTCACGTTTGTTTTGAAGATCCTCAGCTTGGTGTTTGATCCCAGTTCCTCAGACATCCATATATTCCTGAGAATGATAAATGCTGCTCTAGCCTTTTGGATTCTGACCTTGATGTCTTCGTCTGTTCCCCCTGCCTTGTTAATGACATTTTCCAGGTAGGTGAAGGATTCAACATATTCCAATGGTGCCCCTTGCAGTGTGATAGGTACGTCGGCTGCATCCGTTCGAAGATTTTTCGTTTTATCCGTGTGAGTATGGAGTCCAACACTACGGGAGAAGGTCCCAAGCCGATCTGTTTGCTGTTGCACCTGGGCTCGACTCTGAGAAAGAAGTACCAATTCGTCGGCACAATCCAAGTCTTGCAACTGACTGGAAAGGGGCCACTGTATGCCACCAGGTTTTCCCGATGTTGTATGTCTCATTATCCAATCCACTTCTAATGAAAAGAGAAAAGACGATAGCAGGCATCCCTGTCTCATTCTTGTATTCACTTCAAACGAGTCTGTCCGCTGCCCTCCAAGTAAAACACTGCAGATCATTCCCTCCTAAGACACTGCAGCTCATTCCCTTCTACATCTTCTTTATCAATCTCACAAACGTGTAAGGTATTCCGTAGTGGCTCTTGAGCTTCTATATTGAGTCTCTATCTAGGCTGTCAAAAGCTTTCTCGTAGTCAACAAGGTTAACGTTCAGGGAAGAGTTTCACTCCGTGGACTGCTCCACTATTATCCTCAAAGTTGCAATCTGATCTGTACAGGATCTCTTTTTACGAAATCCTGCCTGCTTTTCTCTCAGTTTTGCATCCTCGGCTTCCTTCAGTCTTTCCAGTATGGTACGACTTAAAGTCTTCCCTGGAATTGACAGGAGCAGGATTCCTCTGTAGTTTTTACACTCATGCAGGTCTCCTTTCTTGGATAGATTCACGAGCAATCCCTTTCTCCAATCCTGAGGAAATTTTTTGCTGTCCCATATTTTGCCAATAATTCCTTGAGGAATCCCTGCCGCAGGGTCGATATCGCATTGAGAACTTCTAGGGGAATTCCATCTGGGCCGGCCTCCTTGCCTGGCTGCTTTCTGGTGTCTTATCGCCTCCTTGATCTTCTCTAAACTAGGCTTCTCTTCACTCACCACCAGATCAATCTCTGCAGGTGGAATGTCAAACTGTTTTTCTGCCTTGCTTTTTGAAACGCTCCTACCAGCGTTCTTTCTGTTCGTCTGGATTTGTGAGAAGCTTTCCCTCTTTATCCTTCACTGGCACATCAGCGTTCTTGTATCCGCCTGCAAGTTTCTTTGTGGTTTCATACAGTTCTCTCATGTTTCCCTACTTGGTTGTAATTCAAATCTTAATCATTTCAGTGCCTTTCCAGTGTTTAAAAAAATTCTCCAACCGACTAACACTGCTCCTTTTTTCTGCATATTTTCTCAGATGAGGAGGACGAAGAAGGTGATAAAGAGAAATGCAGATCTGTAACACTTGAAAGCAAAAACAAAAAGAAAGACCAGAAAACTCTTTCAAAGGCCAAGAAAATCAAGTCTATGAAAATGAAAGAAGAAAAGTCAAAGGGCAAGTGCAAGAAGAACAAATCCTTTGGCTTTAAAGGAAAGAAGGCCTGGGTGAAGAATAACTGCCGTGCAGTATTCAAAGTTTGCTACAAGCCAAAAGGCGATAAAGGTTTGTTGTTTTTTGGTTTTTGTTGTTGTTGTTGTTGTTGTTGAGTTCTAGGAAAATAATACAGCTGTTAAACCATTGCAGTCTATCCTTCTGGCTTGTTTATCTATTCTGCTAACTCGTGAATTTTGCACGAGTACTAAGGTAGTTGTACAGCTAATTTCTACTTGGTTTTCTGATGGCTACAATTCAGATCTAAGTTTTCTGAGTACATATTCAAATTTCAAGAAATAATCTAACATTCAGAGTATGCTCCGTATTGCTCCTTGCATTTTGCATTTTTTTTTTTTACCGAAAAAAAAATACTGTCTTCTGTCAGGACAACTGCTCCCC